GGATATTTTGATGAAGGGTCAAAAATCCCACAGCCAGCTCTTCAGCTCTTCTCTTGTTTACATTTCTTCTGGACATTTCTCCCTCTCTTTCCTTTCTGTTATTCACATACTTAGGACTTGTCTATACTTACGCGCTGGTTCGGCGGCAGGCAATCGAACTTCTGGGTTCGATTTATCGCGTCTTGTCTGGACGCGATAAATCGAACCCAGAAGTGCTCCCCGTCGACTCCGGTAATCCTGCTCGGTACGAGGAGTACGCGGAGTCGATGGGGGAGCCTGCCTGCCACGTCTGGACCGCGGTAAGTTCGAACTAAGGTACGTCGACTTCAGCTACGTTATTCACGTTATTCACGTAGCTGAAGTTGCGTACCTTAGTTCGAATTGGGGGGTTAGTGTAGACCAGGCCTAGCTTCTCGACACACTGGTTACTGAGGATCGGAAGAAGTTAAGTGAAGGGTCCAATCCTGCAAACTCTTATCTACACAGGTAGACGCCTTACTTGATGCTCTCATTGACTTCAATACTATTGTCAGTAAAGGTTACTAGCATGAGGAAAGATTTATATTAAACTCAGCCCTAAGTTAGTAAGTACAATACACAACCTACAATTCTATGCAAGAGTTCTCCATGCTCTTTGCTAATCATGAAACTGTGTAGTGATCTCCAAGCCTGGACAGTGTTGCATGAGATCATACGGTTTTAACTGAAACTGTACATTCACTTCCTTAAACACAGGAAACACATTTTTGATTAATTACCCATCTAATCTATATACATTTATGAATCACACTGTATAAATCATAAAATAAAGCAATCATGTACCCAGAGAGGTCAAAGCATACTTACGAATGAAATCTCTATGTATTTATGTATCTATGTATTTACAGTGTGTTCATATATCCTTATCATAAACATATTTGTGTGTATATATATTACACACGAGACCAAATTCTGATCTCAGTTATATAGTATAAGCCCAGAGTAACTTCACCGGGAACAGAATTAGATTAACACAACATGTGTATGCTTATCTGTAATTCAAGTTAAGCATATACATTCATTAGCACAAGTTATTACAGTTTATTAGACAGAGAATTTTTAATTAATGGTTAATAAATGTCCATAAGCACCCAAAGAGCTTGATCTCCACCTAGGAAAACTGACATTCAAGAAACTATACTGCCAGAAAATACATTAAAAAGGCCATGGCTTGTTGGTTGAACATTCAGAAAAAGGCAGGGGATTAGAGCAAGCCACATATGAGATTGGTGGAATTATAAAAAGACTGCCCAGCATTTTAAGAAAAATAGACAGAAAATGAATTCTGCATAATTCAGGTGTCATCTTTCTTTCTGCTTGGAAGCAGATTTCATAGAGATAAAAGACGGATCGCATCGGACAGAAGTATGTTTAATCAAAAAGTAATGGAACTGAAGATTAAATTAAAATAATAGAAATCTACCAAGAAGAACAATTTTTCCTCCCTTGCATTTGCACAGATACATATTGTCTGGCTATACCGAAAGAAGGAGACATTTGACATGGGTTTAATTAGGCCGCAACTTTATTATTAGATGTCTGGGACTACCCGACGGATAAAAGTGTACAGTGCAGGAAACCCCTATTTATTCTGTAATTACCCAGGGGGGACTTTTACCAGCTCCCCCTCTTTTTCCATCCAGGCCCCTTCAGCAAATTTATTGCTGGGACCTTACCATATCCGGGGAACTCCCACCAGCTCCCCCTCTTTTTCCATCCAGGTCCCTCCAGTAAATCCATTGCCGGGACCTTACCTTCCACCTCCCTCATAGGAGGGTTAAGGTGGGCTATAAGAATAGGGGGTTGGCTCTCTGCCATACCAATCATAGGAGTCCCCAAACACTCCCTGTTCCTTCCTTTAACGAACACCTCTTTTTAAGTCCTTTTCCAAGCCATGTATCTGGTCACTGTATACCTTTCCTATGGAGTACTTGCACTGGACAGTCGCACACTTAGATAATGAGTTGTGACATATGGCATACCGCCCTTCATGCCATGCATGAACAGAGCCCTTCCTGAGCCCGCTGTGGGGAAGGCGAAACCCCCCCCCAACTACACCCAAGTCAATATGGTGGCAAGGGAAAAATTCCTTCCCAGCCCTCCTAACAAAAAAGGGGCGGCTAGTGTAATGCCCACAGCAGGTCTTAACCAAACCTGGTATTTTCCCACATAAAGAGGAAGGATGGTGGTTCCTGCTTCAGATGGCTTTGTGTAAAAGGGACGCTTCACCCCAGAGCTGTCCCTTTTAAACCCCGCATTCCTAGGGGATGAGTCAGCGACCACTGCTGTCCCCTTTTGCAAAAGTTTTTCATCCCCCTCCCCCCCCGCCATAAAGCATTGTTTCCATTCAGCCAGCCAGCCAAGCCACCCCTTTCCCCCCCCGTGCTTAAAGGTGCAGGGTGGTCATTCAAACTGTTCACATGTTCAATGGGAAGGAAATACAGACAAGTATCAACGTGGCAAAATCATACACAGAACTATATATTCACTCGCACATGCATTTAGATATCCTTATATACACAACTTTTACAAACAACAACAACAAACGTGCGAGCATTATACACCTCTACCTCGATACAATGCTGTCCTCGGGAGCCAAAAAATCTTACCATGTTATAGGTGAAACGGCGTTATATCGAACTTGCTTTGATCCACCGGAGTGTGCAGCCCCGCCCCCCCGGAGTACTGCTTTACCGCATTATGTCCGAATTTGTGTTATATCGGGTCGCGTTATATGGGGGTAGAGGTGTAGTTCTTAATATCTTAGGGAAATGTATTGCTGAACAACAACAATTTAAAATGACATACTTTTGTAATGTAATTATTTCTAACTTTAGTGTAAAAATACTTTTTAATTCCCCCCCCAAGATGTTAGATTTTAACATACCATTATATAAATGGAAAAGCAAATTGGGGTTCTATGGACCTTTTACTAGTATAGACATAGAATTTACCATTATGCGTCCTTAAATTTTAGCTTAATCCTAACAGCAAATAACTATATTAGAACCAAATTTTGACACTCTTACTCACATTGGGAGTCTTATAAGGACTACTTGCAAAGTAATTTGTTACTCAAAAGTGAGAAAGCACACCAGAGTCTGACCCTTAGTGAAAAGTGGTTTATTTGGGGTTTTTCATGGTGAATGGGAATCCAGTAGTTGGAGAGGTTTATTTTGTGTATATATATATATATATATATTCTCCCCCAATTCCTGACCTCCCAACCTGTAAACCATGGCAATTGTGAGAGTCGGCACAACAGAAAAGGTATATTTGCCTGTTTGGGACATTATAACTAACTATACACTCCTCTGTGTTCGCCTGCTCTACTTTGCCTATCCAAAACAAACTATTACAATGCATGAAGTTGCTTTTAAAAGACTCAGCTTCGGGGAATAATATTAACATCTGATATCCTGGTCATAAAGTTAATTAGTGTAAGCAAACATAGTATGATTATAATATTAACAGAGCCACAGTGGACCATATTTCGAGTACAGAGGGAGTAAGCAGACCTTTGTTCTAACCCTAACTGTGCAAGTGTGTCTTTGGCAACTCAATCTGTCATTGCATCAGTTTCCCTATCCATAAAATGAAAATAATGGTACTTAGCCCACCTCATTAAAGTGATCGGAGATTTTCAATGAAAAGCCTTCTATTATTACAATACTCTGAGGCCACTGGTACAAATGGGTATAGCTTAACATAAGCCAAGTGAACTCACAT